TTGATAATGTATATAATACTCTCTATTATTGTCTCGTAAATATGTAAAATGGTTTTAATAAAATTCCTTGGTCTTTTGTCTTAATTTTGTAAAAAGATAATTGGGTAAGAAGTCGAATTGTAGCCGTTCGGTAATTAAAATTGGAATAAATAGCGTCATTGTTCCATTAATTAAATTGTTTGTCATGAGAGGCTAGTTAATATTGAGATTTTTGTTCGGGGTCCTTTAACAGTGGGTCGTTCAGCCTCTTTATGAAAGTAAACAATTAATACACTAAATATTAATAGTTGATTAACACATAAATTTTCAGCAAGAGAGGAAGAAGGATTTGAAGGAGACGAGACCGAGGCTGTCTTGGTCTTGCGCTCTCGGTTCTGGTATTGGTTTTGGTCTTGCGCAAGAGACTTGCAGTTACCTATCAGCTTATTACTATTTATTAAATATGCTGCTTTAAAATAAGTGCATTTAGATGTTTTGTTGACATAATACTCGTATAGTCTAAATCAATAGAATTAAGAAAGACAGTGATAACCCTCCTACGTCCCTCCGATTACATGGAATAGAAGAGTTGTAGAGTAAAGACAATTTATGTATTGTTACCAATGATTTTAATGAAAAATCTAGTATGTCCACTTACATGACTTAACTATCTATTTAAAAAAAAAAATACAACTTTAAATGTGTCCAATAGAAAAAAAACGAACAATTGAATTAGAATTGAATTCAGAATTCATTTTTCTAAAAACCAATCAGTGAAATCATTTGGGTACGATTTCTTGGTAAGCAATGTAAACGTGCATGTGAACCACCATCAAAATCAGCTTATAAAAAAACGATATACTGTAACTTTGCTAAAACTGGTCCGATTCAAATGATTTTTGACAATTTTGTCAGAAATTTAACTTCCTTTCAAAAAATGAGCTTCAAAACAGACTGAGAAACGTTTAAATCCGTTGAAAACCGATAGGATGTATACGTGGTGAGTTAGCCCACCAAAAAAATTTTCTTTTATTTATAACTTTTTTTCATGAATTGTTTCGGGGATTCACTAAATATACGAAAATATTATTTTGGATACTTCGAGATTATGAACGAGTGCCGCGCGTCCTTCGCGTTCTTTAGTTTTCTATTTAGATTTTGATTGAAAAGTTTCTCCATAACCGACTGCCCACAGTGGTACCAAATGGACATGACACTATTTATGTTCTTCTCTTGATTAAAACTACTAATACCTAATCAGATCGAAGCTAATGAGGGTCAGATTTTCTTGTTGTTGAATTTAATTAAAGTATTGAAAAATATATACAATTGAGGCTCAATTTGGCTAACCAATAATTTTAGGTTTCACTGAATGGTTAAAAAATCTTTGTTGATGTCCACTAAAATAATTTTCATTTTTTTAAGGACAGACATACACGTCGATCGGTCAAACAAAAAAATACATTTATTTTGCTCATCGGGAACCACTCCGCATTGTAGGTAATTTTGGAAGTCCAATGGTAATTCTGTGCATTCCCTCTACTGCAATTTTTTCTATTTCATCCATTCTTTGAAAATTGTTCTAATACATTTATTGAGATGTTTAGATCTATAATAAACAAACAATAGTTGACTTGAGGCCCTTTGCAATTAATATTTGTCGACGGTTCTCAATACCTGTTACGCGGAGATAAACATGATAATAACCAGGAGTGCCCACAGAGGGGTTGTAAGTTTTCAATTTTAAGAGAACATTTAAATCAGGAAATAAAGAAAAAAAAAAAAGACAAACTGAGGTTTGCGTATATATAATAAAATATATGAGACCGCATACTTGGATGAGCGGCTGATATGATTCATGGAGGAGAATTCACCGATACGTGTCCACAAAAACGTTTAAAAAATAAGTTGAAGTTCTGAATCCTGTTTCATGTACAAGTATTAAAAAAATGAAAATATTATTTTGCTCGCGGAAAGTCTAATAATAGTGGCATTATCTGAAATTTATAATAAAAAAATCTATCAGTCTTTGATAGATAATAATAATAAACGAAACTAGTTTTTCAGTAGAATGAACTAAATTTCATATTTATCAAGATAAAAAAAAAAAGTACAATATCTTATTCAGCTGAAAATACATTTTCGGGATCTATGTGTAACATCAATACCACTGTTATCAATTTCATCAAAAGTATTTCGCTACCAATAAATACGTACATTTTAAATAAACATTTAAGTATAAAACACGGATTTCAATGCAGCAAAAATGTTTGTACATAGTCATATTATACAATGTTTTATTTATTTTAGTCCAATTCTTAAATTAATATTTTGAATTAAGTATGAATATTTTTAGTATCATTTTAAGCTATTTCGGCAATGATGGAATTCAACGTGGAGATCATTTTCCCCCATTCTTCCAAAAATTTAGTTGTAAGATATTTTATTGACTTGCAATTTTCAATCCATAAGTGTTCGATGAGATTTAAATCTGGACTCTGAAAAGAAGTTTCTTGTTCATTTTGGATAATTATGTAGCAGCCATTCCAGTGTATGGAGAACTTTGGGCTAAGGATTATTATCCTAGAAAATTTAAATGTTCGTCCTAAACCCATTTTTGCCGCACTAGCCCTAAAGAATTAAATGTCATTGAAATGATTTAATATATTCAGTTAGAACAAATTTAATATCGATATTGTGAAGTAAAGCTGGAAAGGAATTTGAGAAGAAAAATGATTCAGCTAAAATGAAAACTGGAGGCAGTAGTGGTCTTGTGACTGTAAGTATGTCTACATGTGGAGTCAGATATTTGGTTTTAACCGATGGAATGATTAAGAAGTATTATTATTGATATAGAAGTATTTAAAAGGAGTGGAAAGGAAATTTAATGGCTTGTAGTAATAAAAATGTGTATAGAACGAATATTCAAATTTACTAACCCAAACCTCTCCACACACTGCAATGGCTGTTGTGAAATTATCTAAATGAACAAGAAACTCGTATTCAGAGTCTAGATTTAAATCTCATCGGACATTTATGGATTGAAAATACAACGTCACTAAAATATCTTAAAACTGAATTTTTGGAAGAATGGGGGAAAATATACTCCCCATTAAATTAGAAGACGACCCAAATAACTTAAAATGGCACTAAAAACATTCATACTTCATTCAAAATATTAATTTTAAAATTTGGCTGAAATAAATAAATAAGATATTGTATAATGTGAATATTTACGAACATTTTAACTGCTTCGAAATTCTTTTTTTTTTTAAATATATATACATAAATGCTTATTTAAAATGTAAAATATCTTTATTGGTAGGCAAGTATTTTTATGAAATTTTTGACAGTGGTATTGAAGTCATATACAGACGATTAAATAAAAAATATATTTATAGGAAAGAATTGTTTTTATTTATTTATTTTTTTAAATATCTAAACCAATGCGTGTATAAAAATTTTAATGGCCACTTTATTTGTATTTTATAAATACTGACCGGTTTTCCCGACCATTTTCCTCTGTAATTATATCAAGTGTCTAAAAAGTCAAAATAATCCGTGTTTATGTTATGACGGATTATTTTATTTTGTATTTAGGTGGACAATCTTTTGATAAATCCCTTATTTAATAATATAACATACTTTATATTTGTGTGTTTTTATCATCAGTGACCGCTTTCCCCGATCATTTTCGGCTGGCATTTTATCAAGTGTTTATGATATGATGGATTATTTTATATTTAGGTTGACAGTATTTTGATAAATTCCTCATTTAATTATATTATATACTCTATATCTGTGTTTTTATCATTACTGACCGGTATTCCCGACCATTTTCCACTGTCATTATATCAAGTGTATATGTTATGATGGATTATTTTATATTTAGGTGGACAATATTTTGATAAATTCCTTACTTAATAATATACTTCATATCTGTGTGTTTTTGTCATTGCTGGCCCCATCTTTAGACCAAGTTTTTTACTTGTATTATTTAAACTGTTTACGTTCTGATGGATTTTTTTTAGTTTTTATTTAGGTAGTAACTATTTTTATAAATCCTTTATTTGTTAATATAGAATAGAATAGAAAATTGAACATTATTCTGGGACTAAATCTCCTTCGAATAACTATAATGAACAAATACAAAAGAAAATAGATATCTGGCCAAAAACTAACTTAATAAAGATTCTAACAATATATACAGCATGTAATAATAATAATTAAATAATAGTAAGGATTATTATTACATGCTGTATATATTGTTAGAATCTTTATTAATTTATTTTTTGGCCAGATATGTATTTTCTTTTGTATTTGTTCATTATAGTTCATTCTACTTCTTCTCTAGATTCTAACAATATATACAGCGTGTAATAATTATAATTAAATAATAGTAAGTAAACCACTACAAAAAATGAATGAAAATAAAATCTTAAAAATACTTATTATTGTAATGGAAGAAAAAAAAAAATATATATATATACTTCATATTTATGTTTTTGTACTGACCGTCTTTTCCGACCAACTTCAACTGTAAATGTATTAAATGCTTTTATTATGATGATTTACATTATTTTATGTTTCGTTAGAGAATCTATTAAAAAATCCTTAGAGGTCGCAAAAACAGGAAAGGGGGGGGGGGAGAAAAAGTAGAGTGAACTATAATGAACAAATACAAAAGAAAATACATATCTGGCCCAAAACTAACTTAATAAAGATCATGTAATAATAATAATTAAAAAATAGTAAGTAAACCACTACAAAAAATGAATGAAAATAAAATCTTCTCAAAAATACTTATTATTATAATGGAAGAAAAAAATATATATATATATATATTTATATACGTATATAGTATATATATATATATATATATATACTTCATTTTTGTGTTTGTATTATTTATTTGTACTGACCGTTTTTACCGACCAACTTCCACTGAGAATATATTAAATGTTTTTATTATGATGAATTATATTTCGTTAGAGAATCTTTTGAAAAATCCTTAGAGGTCCCGAAGACAGGGAAGGGGGAGAGAAGAAGTTGGAATGGAGGGGGGATTAGGGGTGGGGACGAAGCTAGGAGTGCCAGTGCTCAGCCTACCGTCGTTCAGTTTGTGTCGGTGAGTGCCGCTATGTTGTGAGTGTTCCCTTATTTAAAATATCTTCCTATAATTTAAAACCATGGCTATGGAACTAGTACTCCACAGTCCAGTTGGAGCTGAAGCGGTCGTCTACCAATGGCCGCTTACCTCTGGAAGGGGATCGGTGAGTTGAAAATTCTTCGTAGGACCTAGCTATAATTATTAAAAAATATTAATAACAATAAGCTAGCAATATATATATTTATATCATAAATATTTTAAAACTCCATTGAAATATTTATATGAATATAATAAACAAAAAAAATTACATTTAGAAAAAAAATAATTATAAGACTTATCAGTAAATACAGAGACATAACGATACATTTACATAATCAGTTTGCTGATTTAATTAGTTGTTTCAATTCCTCTTATGTATTCATTTTTTTATTTAAAAATATATTTCAGTATTCTATTAATTAGATTAAAAAATATCTCAATACTAAAGAAACCAAAAGCAACTGAAGACGTGATACACATTAAGTTCTACAAATTTTAATAGTAATATAAGGTGCCATGATCATATATTTCATCATATAATAGTACATCATTTACATATATATATGTGTGTGTATATATATATATATATATATATATATATATATATATACATTCAGGAGCGAGAGTTATTCGCAGGGGTTACTGGCCTTTCCCGTCGCCTGACCCTGTTTCTAGCTACCTCCTCGCTTCTCACCTTGTCTCAACGATTGACAGAAAAATATAGTTTCTTTAAGTTTAAAGGTCATAATAATCATTTCCTAAGCAGATTAGATTCACCGATGAAGGACTTATTTATTATTTTTCAATGAAACGTTAAAAAAAATATATATATATAAAATTAAAATAAAACGATTTTTTTCACTACATTTCAAGAATAAAATTTATACATATATTTTCAAATAAATTATTATTATAATTTTTTTTTTTAAATAATTATTTCAAAACACTCAAAAAATATTTACTCCTATAGAGTCGGAATGGAACAGGAAGTAAAACGAGGTCAGGAGTATGAAGTATGTTTTTTGTTTTTCTATAATAAAACAAAAAAATACAAACAAACAAAATGCAAAGTACGGGGCTACTCATTTTTTTGTTTGTCAACTCCACTAACAAATAACCATGACCGCGTTTTTGATTCAGCAGTAACCTTGTAAGGTTTTTTTGCCAACAAAAACTATGGGGATGTTTCATACTACAAATGAACAAATTTTTGTTATTAGAAATTTGTGTAAATTAATTTGAAGTTTTGACCAATTAGAGTAAATATTTTTTAACTTTAATTTTTAACGTACTAACTTATTAGTAACTTCGTAAGAAAACATGTACTTGTAAATGCACCTTGCTTGATTTGAAAGTTAATTTTAAAAAGTCAAATGATCTTCTTTTTTTCAATTATTAGACAACATAAACTTTTAATAGTTTTATTTTAAATAGTATAATTATAATTTTTAGATTGAAAAATTCTTCGAAAAATTATTTGTGAAACCAATACCTCAATTTGAAATAAAACAACAATAGATTAAATTAATGTGTATTTTTTTTAAGCATTAACTTTTGGAATTTCGAAAATGAGTTTTATAAACCAGGCAAAATACTCAAAATACTCTATACAATAAATAAAACAGTATCTCTAAATTTTAAAATATTAAAAATTTGAGGTGAACTACGTTGAGAAAAAAATTTAATAATCATTGCTCATTATTATTTTTTTTTACCATCTAAATGCATTATAATGACTTATTCATGATTTATTATTTATTAAAAGAACAAATATTTTTACTCCATCATTAAAAAGAAAAAAATATGATGAGCTACATTATGGAAAACAGATATAATTTTTATTACTCATTAAAATATGTCTGGAATTGAATGCTAATGATGTGAGTATGCTATTAAAAGGCGTTATTTGATTTAATTTATTTTTTAAATTTGGAAAACATTCCAATGTTTTCAGTTGAGTTATAACCAATTTATTTTACTTTAAAAATTAATTATACCAGAACATTTGAGGTTCAAAATTGAGTTTTGAAACGAAGTTTAAACCAAAATAATTTTTTATATCTATCATGATTGTGTTCTAAAAATTTCTTCTCGAGTATATTTGATAATATGATGTCTTCATGTTACAGTGTGGTTTGAATTTATGATACCATTATCATGATACCATTATTTATGATACCATTATCATTCTTAGTGGTATAGAAAAAATATCTGTACCATTTTATCTATTGTATGTTGGAAAAAATGATGTTATATCAGAGGCTGTTTTTATTATTTTAAGGGGAGAGGGATATTTTTTCCCTATCCGGTTTTATTGTAAATAGTTGCAATAAATAGATATTTTACGTATTCCACATTTTAAAGTAAAATATACTAAAAAATTTGGTAGTACAGACGGCTAAATAATTAAAAATTATAAATGAAGTAGTGTTGCCGAAATGCGAGACCGAAACGAGTCTTGGTCTTGCAAACTCAGTCTTGGTCATGGTCTTGGTCTTGCACAAGAGTCTAGCAACAGTCTTGCAGTTACTTATTAGCTTATTACTATAGAGATATTACTGTAATTTTTTAGATAGGAAAAACGTAACTTAGCCCGAATGAAAAATTAGAGGAATTAAATTCAAAAGTATATTGGTTAAACCAATTATTTATATGCGAGGTGCAAGACCAAGACCGATTTTAACACTAAAATGAAGAATATCATTTTCTAAGTTTGATTAGAATACGCCATATCATCTTTTGAAATTCGTTTTTTGGTAAAAAACTAAATAAGATATCAAGATAACTTGGTAAATGATAAATAAGACTATTTTGGACAATTTTATGGAAAATCAGAGGAATCTGTACACACATACACATATATCTCTACACACCTCCACTTGACATTAAATCGGGCGATGAACCACAAGCTTGGAAATTAATCGCATTTTTAACCACAATATCATCTTTAGTCTTTTGCCTGTGCTTGAAATTTGGCTAATTCATCGTTATCTTGACATACAGTCATGCTAAAGAGTAAAAAACAGGTTTGTTTTACAATACAATTACCTAATTCAGATAAAATATTCTAACCTACATTGATACCCACTGTATACGTGCTCAGATATCTTGCAATACCCTTCTCTTAACATCAAACATCTCTTGTTTACGGTTGTCAGCAGTTTGCTTTCCGCTCTTGTTGCAGCGCTGATGTATAACGGTTAGGTTACTTGATACTTGATTGTGTCAGCGATCGAACGTCACACTGTTTTCTCATTTATTCTTCCTCTTTTCTCCTTCTTTCTTTATCATTTTCGTGGAGAACCGATGGAAATATGGAATGGAGGCAACATTTTCTTAATTGATTCCTCTGTTTCACGACAGGGAACAGTTTCTTCCAGTAACTTTCTTCATTTATATGAATAGGTTATATTTTCAGTTTATCCTATAACAGACCCATCCTTTGGTTGTAAAAATAAATAATTACATCCCTTATAGTTTCATAGTTAAATCAAAAATGTATAAAAGTTTTACTGTACTACTCGTATGAAGTTACTGAAAAACAATGTACTTGCAAAGCATAGTGAGTTTGGATCACTCTCATACATCACTTTTTTTTTTTTAATAGATTTTAAAACTTGCAGAAATAGCAAAATTACACCATGTTTTGTGTAAAAACGTGCTCGAAGGTTTACAAACGACGATTCTATTGGTATGCTTGACGGCCCTTTTTAAAAAGATTGTGATGTGGGCATATCTTGATATGATAACCACATAACACCTCCAAAGTGGAGAAAAAAAAAAAAAGTAAATAAAATCAAAACGTTAAATAGCTATTATAATTCTTCTTATCATACCTAAACAAGAAAGAGTAATCTGACTTACATCTTACCTTTTGTCTATTCATTCATCGATAAAACATATATTTATTAATACGAAATACATTATTATTGACAAAAAATAAAGTACCAACTTGAAGAAAAGTAATTAGAATAAAGTATTTTTTTGTCATTTTACATTTTAATGAGGTAATGTGCTTCGTATTTTTCAATAAATATTTTATCCAAGAACGCTGGATGAATATACAAAATTTAAAATAAAAATTATGTTACTGTTGTGTAAAAAAAAAAAAAAAAAAATGATGTATAATATAGCACCTAACATCTAACGTAACTTCTAGATTTTATTTACTCATTATTCCTTCATTTCACCATCTCAAAATTCGATATGATTCTAACCAATATATATCTAGAAAACATTATATATACATATATATAACTTAAGATATGAATTATAGTCGGATAATAGGTCATGAAATACACTTATATTGCTTAAAACAACTTCTGTTTAATTCATTTTTTCAAAAACGTTTCGATCCCTGTTTTTTAACATGAATAATGGGATCCTCTTCAGTTCTGGAAAAACAGTACCTATCTTTGGTATAACAATCAAAAGTTTTTATAAATTTGAAAAATAAAACAAAATTTTTTCTTACTTTTAATTAAGCATCGATACTCCAAGCCGGGCAGCACGCTGACAGACCCATCGTATTTCATGACCTATTATCCGACTATAATTCATATCATTAGTTATAACATATAAAGGTCGAATTATAAAAAAAAAGTAATATATATATATATATATATATATATATATATATATATATATATATATATAAATTCTTGTTCTGAGCATTTTATGTTCTATATCAAATTGAATACCATATAATAAGTTTTAAAATTACCTATAAAATATCACTCTAGCACCATCTGTTGTTGGTCTACGAACATTTTTGTAATATTAATATTAAATATTAAATTTGAATATTAAATATTAAACTCATGCTGTTTCTACAATTTTAAAATAACGATACATCAAAAACTGCTGAAGAAAGATTATTTAGAACTATATATCTGTTATATTATTAGTTGGTATAACTAATATACTAAAATAATGTATATATATATATATATATATATATATATATATATATATATATATATATATATTATAATTTATATAAATTGGAGGTATGCAGGTTGAAAATTTATTTTTCATTGGATGGTTTGACAAGAAATTATAATATTATGTGCTTGTATTTCTCTGGAATACTTTATTATGTCCCATAAAGTTTTTGAAACTACATAAAATAGATTAGATACCTAGAGTTTCAAACGCTTATGAAACATAAAAACATTTTTCTTTTCTTATTACGTTGTTCGATTTCCTCGACGATTCTCCGTTTCCTAAACTGTAGTTTCTCGAATAAATTTTTTTCAAGAATTTTGGTTCATATTATTCATTTGTTACTTAAAGTAACAAAAAAACACATACATTTAATAGTTATTAATAAGTATTTTTAATTATGTGATTACCCATTGATACAGTGAACACTGAAGTAACGGAATATTTAAGTGCAGTAAAATTGTAGCAATTCTATTATTATTTTTATTTAAGATTGTGTGTTCATAGCTACTATCCCGTTATTAAAAGTTCAGATTATGATCTAATCTATTTATTTATTAATTTACTAAAATATCTATTAATTAACTCCATGATTGGGCTGATAGGTAGTAACGAACTTAAACATTTTATTTTTTAATAACAGTTTTATGTTTGTTGATTAAAAAACTATTTGAGTAAAATTTACTCTCTGATATTTACATATTTTATTATTAGGTATTAATATGCATGTCTATTTTCTTTGGGTAATCTACATTTTAAAAAATGGAAAAAAAAGAGACAAACATTTATAAACTTTTTTTTTTCATTGTATAATTCATATTTCTTTTATTTATATAATTCAATATCCTTTTTTTTCTTTCAGGACAAACATGATAGCGCCCTTGAAATAGTTGAAACTATTAGGTAAGTTACGTAGATAAAAAAATAAATAAATTTATATTATTTTTTCTATGAACAGGTTCACCTATGTAGGAACAAAGAGAGAGAGAGAATGAGTCGAAGCAGTAAGAAAAATGTTTCCATTGTTGAAGTATCTCATTAATTATTGAATTGTGACTTTACTTTTATAACAAATAGTAATAAAAGAAAAAAAACACAAAAAGAGAAATAAATTACTACGTTGTTGGCAATAAAAACTTCCAATATTTAACAAATTGTGTATTTGCTATAGTCCCATAGTGTAGTTGCTCTAGATATTACTTTTATGTATAATAAAAAAAAAAAATTATGACAAAGGAACACACGTGGTATTGAGCTATTAACTGTTAATAAAAGCCAGATAGGAATAAAATTCTGAAGATGGGAATTGTATCCCGAAACGTTAACACAAAATAAATTAAAGCAAATACACAATTTGTTATATATTGGAAGTTTTTATTGCCAAAAACAGTGAGAATTATTTTTTTTTTTTTGTATATAATTGTAATATGTCGAACACCGGTGTATATAAAATGCAGGTAAACAATTAATCTGTCAACATTTCGCCAATCCAGAAATCATCAGGACTGAAATAATCTAGATCACATACACACAGTATATCTCTTCTAAACAGTAAAACACATACATACATACATACATATATATATATATATATATATATATATATATATATATATATATATCATTCCACACAGAAGATCATTCAATATTTTAGAGGAGTTACGTACTCTCTGCAGGGGGTGCCCCCCTCAAGATCGATGAAGCAAGAACCTAACCCCCCTCCTCCCAAGATATGTTATTGCTCCCCTTTTTTAAAAAACAGAGCAAGCTAAGGTAGTATTAGAAAAATCGTAGATCATACAATTACACTTGCTATGGTATGTTCCAATTTATCCCCTTGTCCCTTAGACCGAAAATTCATAACTCCTTCGAAATCCCCCCCCCCCTCAAAAATTCAAAAACCTGTCAAAATATGGTCTCCTCAAACATTTTGATAGTGTATCTTGCGCCATGAAACCCTCTACTCGGCACCTCTGACTCTCTCTAATCCCGAAATGTAGTCCACAAAGAATCTTTCGTTGATGAAAGATGTACTGCAGGAATTTGATTTACGGTCTTTTCTGTCCTGATGATGCCTGAATTGACGAAACGTCGAAGCTTTAATTGTTTATCTTCATTTTAGTTCCCCAAGGCTATGGAATTTTAGTTTTGTAATGTTCGGAATTCTCTAATTATATCCTATTGACTAATAATTGTTCTATTCGTCACAAATGGTCGTTGTTCGATAGACATAGCAAATTAACCAACAAACAAATAAAAATAACAATGAAGTGCTATCGATTGCTCAATAAGAATCATTTTCATATTGTTTTATATCTATTAGTAGCTACTATTAATTAAATTACAAATAATTAGTTTGTTGTTTAATTAAGTCAGTTTAAAAAAAAAACAATCACTAGAACAGAAAAATATGTCACCTACTCCTTTCCAATTTGCCTCATAAAAATTTAATATAAATTAAAAGAATGTCAGGACTGATCTAGTAAATACATACACGATTCAATGAATAAAAATGATAGATTAGTTTCAAATCAAATCAAAAATTATTTTATTTACATATACATACAATAATTCATAATAATGGTTACATGCTTATGGCAACATTGCCTTACACATGTTACAATAAAGTGGAGTGATTGCTATTTTTTTTTACGCATAAATATATTTTGTACAGTAGGAAAAAAAAAAAAAAAAAAAACTACATAAGTTTTAAAAATGAATAAATAACATAAAAATTATATATTGTCACTAAAATGTATAAACAGGATAAAACTAATCACACGGTCACTTGTTTAATATCTTATAAATTGTTATTAAATAATTGGTGTGGGAAGTATGTTGCTGCTTTTTTTCAATATTTGAAATGTAATGTTATGGAGTTGGGTTGTGTTATGTTGATTGTCAGATATTGTTGTAAGCTCAAAGAATCTTTGTGTTTTAAATTAGATAGATTAGTTTCGAAACTATTCATTGAATGGCGAAACATTGACAGGTTTGTATTAAACTTGAGACACTGAAAATAATTTAACACTTGAAATTTATAATTAATGTCCTCAATTAGAATTGTTGTCGATATTTGAAACTTTATTTTGAATTTATATATAATAATTACAAGTGTTCCATTGCTGTTCTGTTGTTACGTAACGGATTGGCTATGCTTCATGATTTATATTTGTTATATATTTATTTCCATAGAGGTTATTGTTTAGAAACGTAGGGTTCATTAAATATTCGATATTAAGCAGTTGACTACTGTTAATACAATAAACGAAAAGGGTGAGGGCGAAATCCAAAATTTCCTAAAAAAACAAAACAACTGTTGGAACAAAATTTCACGAATGCTTTAATAACTGGAAAGAATTTTACAACAATTTTAATAAAGGAAAAAAAAAATGTCGGGGTATTAATAAAAATTCAATGTATTTAGTTGCTATTAAATTATTTAAAATTCCTCGAATAACCTTTTTGGATTTGAACCGTTCACTTACCTGTTGTGAATTGATAACATTGCTTTTCTTTTATATTCCAACACAACGTTATTTTATAGGTTGTAATGTTTTTAAAACTCCGTGTAAACGTTTATACCACAATTTCCACAGTTTGAATTATTTCCTCTAATCTGAAATATGACTTTTTAGTCAGATTATTTTAAAATTATTGGTGGGTACAAACCCTTTTTCTCTACGATAAATGACAATCATTTACATCAATCGTAAAAAGAACAAAACGAAAAGTTTAAATGAAAGTTTTCGATCAGTATCAATGCTTTGATTGGCAGTATCATCTCAATTTTCTCGTGTCAACTCTCGGAAGTTTTGAATGATTTTAATTAATCTTTTGAGTACTTATTATGTTTCATTTAAATATTGATCATGTTTAATGTTAACAGCGGTATTGATTTTGAGTATATAGCAAAGGTCAGGAAGGATGAAATTGTTTATTGACAATATTGCATTTAGAATTAATTGGGTAATCGATACATCATAGATAAAACGTTTAGTTTCGGTTCAATATTGACAGAGAATTATAATTGGGCTTTGAATATTCGGACTAGTACTCACTATACCAGTTGTCTCTTAATGATCTGCACAATGTTATCAAATTTTCGAATCCATTGTGCAATGACAGATTTCCTGTATTGAACATGACTCTTACATTGGCATTAAAATACTAAATCAGATAAATTTGACTATAACAATACCCAAATCCCATCGCAAACACATCACTGTTCCAAGGTTGCAGGGAGACTGAATTGCGTCGCAATTGATAAGAGGCAGACTAGCCAACCCTTCGGGAGTCAAACTTAATTTCCCTCCGGGCTGGCTTCGGGAGGTGGGGGCCCCTCTTGTTTCAGTTAGCGGTGGTCCCCGGGGCTGGTTCGAGACACGCTGGTAGCTGTGAACATTTTTTTATCAGTGCGTCCCAAGAGCCTTGAGACCTTCCGACTGAGTTGACAAAGTTCCCATCACCGAAACTTCTGAAGGATTTTGTCGAATGAGCGGATCTTGTCGCTTCAAGACGCATTACCTTCTTGGGATTGGCCGCTTCGATGAAGAAGTGTGAAGCAAGTTAGATAATACTCTCATTAAGGTTAAGATATAAAAAAAAATTCACTTTCAACAAAACAGTGCACGTTCGCTTTTTTAAGCCTTCTGATTTATAGACATATGAAATTAAATTTATATCCCCTCCCCTCTCCCTCACCCAAGTATAGTGTTCAAAAAATATATATCTGCGTGTGAAAAATATATAATGGAATTAATCTTCCATATCATTCTATTATAAATACGCGTTGTTAAAAAAAATAATAATAAAAATTAGTTAAAGATTTCAATTATTTTATTTTTATTTTGAATTGGTTGTTCTTTTTGAAGATGGGGGCAGTATTATTACAAAATTTCACAAAACTTGGTTATTAGAAATTTAGCCAAAGAGATATTTCAGCCAGTTTTCTTCTAAACCGTTTACAACCTTGATTTGATTTTTATCAAACACTTTTTAATGGTTGTAAAACATCTGCTTTAAAACGAAATAAAACGTTTCAAAATTTGGCTGGGGAAGTGACGTTAGTTCAATACTGATAAGAACTAACTACAATTTCAATTTTTCACTAAAATTATTTTTTTAAATATTTAATTAAATTTTTAAAATAATTTCAATTAAGTTAAACATAAATACTTACTTCTTGTTGTTTTTAGATCATCTTGTCATTGAAGAAGTCAACATTAATTTTTTCCTTTTCGTTTGTTCCAATTTTTGGCTTGTACGAAATTCAAAGTTGTTTTTAAATTATCGTGTATTATGATTCAACTTGTTTCGTTGCTTCGTAAACAAAAATATTTCCTTTCTATCATCAATAACATTAAGAAAGTTGTCATATTATACCAGACCCTTAACTAAATATTAAATAAATATTCTTGTGAAAAATAAAATGAAAAGATTATTAAAATAAAATTTATCTATTTAGTGATCTCACCTTAGAAATGTGTACAAGAGAATGGTTACAGCGACCCTGATAGTTTGGCTAAAAATTATTTAATTATTATTATATTCTTAAAAATATAGATTATGACTAGGGACCGGATTTACATGTTACTGCACTTTTTATTCGCTTGCGTGTAAAAACTCCGGACTCAAAGATTTATCCGTTTCAGAACCTGTAGAATAACATATTTAAAATTTATATTGCACGTTTTTGGATTAAATTGCACGATTTTGATTTTTGTTCCATTAAATAGCACATTTTTTCACTTTTGTGCTAAATTAGACGATTTATAAATACAAATGTATAACTGAGTGTGCTAATATTTTCTTACTATTACTTCTTATTTTACTATATTGTTCAAATTAAATTTATTATTCAAAATAGAAAAATATGAGGAAGGCAAATAATTCTGTGTGAA